GAGTTATTGAAACTCGAGTGCCTTGTTGATTGCAAAATTGCATGTGTGTATGCATTTTCTTTTAATGAAAGCTCTTTGTTTGCCTCTCGATTTCACCCACTGGAAAATGTCACAATTGAATCATTAAGAGATAAATTCTCACTTATATTTTGTGATCACCATAATTTGCCTTGGATAATGGACGTGGTGGGTCGTTGCACCCAAGCGCACCCTCTAACTGCGGTTGGAATGGTAACGCGCACAGTTCGAGGTAAATCGTTTCGAGCACTTCAAGGATGGAGCGTGTTAGCGCAGTGGGATAAGGGACACCATGTGTGGTGGACACAAGCTCGCTCCTTTGGACGCAGCAAGCACGGCATTAAGGCATACTATTCGCCTCCCACTGACATTACAGCATGTCCTATTCGACCCAAACATCAGCAAAATCTTTTGTTTTCTGGTCGTGTAAACGGGCGCAGTGCCTCGATCCTGGTTGATACAGGAGCAACTGCGTCATTGATCGATGAGAAATGGATGGGATACTTGAATGTCCCTGTTCAAGGACCATCCTGTTCGATCCGCCTACGGGATGATAGGATCATTCCATGCAGAGGACATGCGTTGGTCAACCTGGATATCCAAGGATATCAGGAGACCATCAGTGTTTTTGTCTTACCCCTCCTAGCAGGCGTAGACATTGTCTTGGGAATGGATTGGCTGCGGCTAAATGAGGTGATATTAAATTTCCAAGATAACACGCTTTCATTCACAAAGAATGGGACAGCGTTTCAATGGCAAGTCCCAAAGCGCCATGCACTGGACGACAAACCTCAAAGCCTGGCTCTTGATGTGCGCTTTGCGTCGGCTCTCCAATTCAAAGAGCATGTCAAGGGAGCTGATACACTTTTTGTTGTACAGCTGGACTCTGAACCAACCCCTTCACAGATTATTGAGGACTTTCCACCTCAAATGAAGGCGTTGGCAGAGGAATATTCCGAGGTTTTCGAACCAATTCCGGACGGGTTACCCCCCGACCGTGCAGTTGGCCACACCATCCCGGTGGAACCAGGAAAGGCACCACCATTTAGACCTCTGTATCGCCTCAGTCCAGCTGAGTACGAGGAGGCTAAACAACAGATTGAGGAGTACCTCAGGAAGGGATGGATAGAACCTAGCGCGTCCCCATATGGAGCACCTATCTTGTTTGTTCACAAGAAGGGAGGTGGACTGCGCATGTGCGTCGATTATCGAGCCCTGAATAAAATTACGATAAAAAACAGATATCCACTTCCGCGCATAGAAGATTTATTTGATCGACTACAGGGTGCGCAATGGTTCAGTGCACTGGACTTGGCACAAGGCTATCACCAATTGCGTATAACAGAGGACGATGTTCCAAAGACGGCTTTCCGTTCGCCGTTCGGCCATTTTCAGTGGCGTGTGTTAAGTTTTGGCTTGACCAACGCTCCGGCCTCTTTCCAGAGGGCGATGAACGATGTTTTTCGTGATGCGATTGGCCAGTTTGTCCTGGTGTACCTCGATGATATCCTGGTATACTCAAAAACCGAAGATGAGCATACTGAACACCTGAAATGGGTCCTCAAAAAATTACGCGAGCACAAATACTACGCACGTTTGTGGAAATGTCATTTTTACAAACGCGAGCTGGAGTATTTGGGGCACGTAGTGGGGCACAACGGTCTGAAAGTGGACCCCAAGAAGGTAGCAGCTGTACAGGAGTGGCCCGTCCCACGCGACGTTGGCCAAGTTCGATCATTCCTGGGCCTGGCGAATTATTTTCGTTGCTTCTTGGAATATTATTCCACGATAGTCGCACCCCTTACGGCATTGACCCGGAAAGGGTGCACGTGGGAGTGGACTCCACAGTGCCAAAAGGCCTTCGAAGAGGTCAAGCATAAATTAACCAACGCACCAGTTTTGGTGTTGCCAAACCCACAGAAACCATATGAGGTGGTTACAGACGCCTCGACGGTGGGACTTGGTGCAGTACTCCTGCAAGAAGGACGCCCTGTGGCATTTGAGAGTAGAAAGCTCTCCCCGGCAGAGCAACGCTACACGACGACCGAACAAGAGTTGTTGGCTGTCGTGCATGCGCTAAGAACATGGCGATGTTACTTGGAAGGGGTAGAGTTCGTGGTCACCACTGACCATTGTCCGAACACATATTTTTCTACCCAAGCTACCCTCACTCGCCGTCAGGCCCGTTGGGCTGAACTCCTTAGTGGGTTCAGTTTCGACATACGTTATCGTGCAGGTTCCACGAACCTGGCTGACCCCCTCAGCAGACAGCCGATAGGGGCAGCAACTGGGCTTGACGATACCGAACACGCGGCTGTTTTTGCTGCCTGTTTTGGCATACTAGCTGCGGCGAAAGTGAGCGAGATCGCGTTCACTGGTTTTCTGAAACGAATTCGTACAGGATATCATATTGAATCCTGGTTCCAGAACCCACAAAACACCAGAAATTTGACATGGGAACACGATCTTTGGTGGCGAACAAAAGAGATTGCGGTACCTCATGTAGGCAATCTGCGGAACGATATTTTGGAAGAGGTGCATGCCACTAAATATGGGGGACACTTGGGCATGAATAAGACCCGATGGGCCCTACGAGATGTGTATTGGTGGCCAGGAGTTGGTAGTGATGTCCAACAGTTTGTGGCACGTTGCGACACGTGCGCACGTAACAAACCGGACACACAGAAGCCTGGTGGTTTGCTTCAACCACTTGAAATTCCGAGTGAACCTTGGGAAAGCGTTTCACTGGATTTCATCACCGAGCTTCCAAGAACCCGTGATGGGTATACGGCGATACTCGTCTTTGTAGATCGCCTTACAAAAATGGTGCACTTAGTACCCACGACAACAGACGTGTCGGCAGAGGATACTGCTCGGTTGTTCGTGACACATGTGTTCCGCCTACACGGATTGCCACGTGTATTGGTGTCTGATCGCGACCCGCGCTTCACGAGCCGGTTCTGGCGTGAAGTAACCGAGACACTAGGAACGAAGCTTAAGATGTCATCAGCTTTCCATCCCCAGACAGATGGGCAAACGGAACGAACTAACCGCACTCTCGAGCAGATGCTTCGTTCTTTCATAAGCCCAACACAGGACAATTGGGACGAGTTGTTACCCATGGTCGAGTTTGCGGTTAACAACTCGGTGCATGATAGCACACATGAAAAACCATTTATCATGAACTGTGGTCGGCATCCCACAACACCTGCTACGCATGGGATCGGCGGTTTGAAATTACCTGCCGCAAAGGATTTTGTGCGCAAGCAACGAGAGGCCCTAAAGTCGGCACGTCGTTGGCTGCAATTAGCCCAACAAAGGCAAAAATCCTATGCCGACATGAAACGCCGGGAAATATCATTCTCCGTTGGAGACAAAGTTTTGTTAAGCACGAAGAATATTCGGCTTAAGATCCCTGGTGCGAGAAAGTTGTTCCCTCGCTGGATTGGGCCCTTCGAGGTCGTTCAACGAGTTGGTGCGGTAGCTTACAAACTCAAGCTACCTGATACCCTGCAGATTCACAATGTCTTCCATGTGTCTCTATTAAGCAAGTACGTTGCAGAGGGCAAGTACTTACCACCACCAACAATCGTCCTAGGGGAGGAACTGTACTATGAAGTCGAACGAGTGCTTTTGCATCGTGATCGACAACGCGGCCGCAAGACTGTACGAGAGTTCCTCATTAAGTGGAAAGGCTATGGGCCTGAACACAACTCATGGGAGCCGGAAGAACATTTGACTGATACTGCGGTTCAGTCTTACATGGAAGACCTGGCTCAGCGAGCACTCCCACAACCAGCGGATGGTGTTGACCCTGGTCGTAATGTGGTTCGTCATGCTCGTAGCACTCGTCCTAAGAAGCACCCCATGGCAACGAGGACGTTGCCAGCTGGAGGGGGAGGAGTGTAACATCTCGATATCCCAACCAGCCCAGAGTCTCGATACATTGAACCTGGGTTGGGAAGATGAAAAGGGAAATGAACTGGTTGAAAAGCGGGGAAACGGACTAGTTGGCAAGCCAACCAATCAGAACACTTTTATACAAAGTGAGTCGAGAAGTTTCTCGCCGCTGGTTGGAATTACAGCCAATCACAAACATTCGAAGTCCAACGCAACTCTCGCGTTGGAATTGCAACCAGTTAGAACATGATAGGTATGGATAACATATTGCATACACTGCATTTTATTCCTTTGTGCCATGTCATTGAGTAAGAAGGATCAACCTTTGCCACATGGGCAAGGCCCATGGTGGTGCACCCTTCCTTGCCATGGGGAAGGTGGCTGCACCCCAAGGGGGTCTAGGGAAGGGGTCTGAGGCCTCGGGGCTCATTCTTCATTTCCTACTCCCAACTAATCAATTGGGAAATAGGATTGCTTTTCTCTCAACTCACCCTCCACAGTTTGTTACTGCATCTCCTACCAACTCTCAGACTTAGTCGTTTTCTAGGAGCTGCCATTCTCTGGTTGTGTTAGAACCTATTATTAAGTGGGTAAATGCCCTTTTTATTATCAGATCCGTTACATTGGTAATCAGAGCTATTAGTAGATCCTTGCCTTGTGGGCATATAAGAGGATTTTGTGTATTTTTTTTTTTTTGGAGAAGTGGTGATTGTGTTGTAACTTCTATATAAGTTTTTGAAGACTACAAGCTCAAGCTTCAGTTTTCAAGATCTACAAGTTTCTCCAAGAGTTCTAAGCCCTCCCTCCTTCCCTGCTGGTGGAACCATTGGAGCTACTGTGGAGGAGTTGCAACCTGTGTGTATTAACACTCTCTGTTGAAGACAATCACTTTGTGATTGTTCTTGCCTTATCCACTGCGGTGGTAAGGATATTTTGCAACAGAGTTGTTTTTCACATTGCTGTGGTTGTAAGATCTATTGAAGAAATTTCTCCTTTGGAGAATATCTTGGTTATTCACTGCGGTGATAACAAATTGCAGTAGATCTGTAACTCATTTTTACAATACAGTGACTTTGCTCTCAATGGCTTCTTCCAACTCCAATGCTGGTGGTGTTGAAGGCAACAACTCCAATGCTGAACTTGAAGCTTGTGTGCAGAAAATTGACCTGAACAACATGGATGAGGAAATGGTTGAGAAGGAACCTGCTGTTGACTCTCCTGCAAGGGACCCTCCAACTGCTGAAAATTCCAAGGAGCAGGAAGGGGAGTCTCAGGAGGATGACATTGAGTTGGAAGGGGAGGAGGACATTCTGCAGGCTGAAATTGCTAAGCTGCAGGATCATGCTGTTGAGCAGGATACGCGCATCCAGCAGCAGCAGTCACTCATCACCAACCTCACGAGGGAGCTCTCTGACCAGGACGACAAAATCAAGTACCTGGAAGTTGAGCTCAAGAACATGAAGCACGACGCGCGTGAGCACGTTCACCAGCTGGCGAGGCAGACCTCAAAGATCAACGAGCTGCGCGAGGCCTTCAGTGCCCTCCGAAGGGAGACCATGTATCGCCCTGCACCACGAGCGGACCCGCCTACCAACTCTGCTAGCGGTCGCACCAACCCTTCTCGCTCTGGTGGTGCAGGGGGTGACCCTGGTCCTTCTACGCAGCGCGCTGCTGAGCCGAGCACGCAGGCCTTTGGCTCTCTGCCGATCACCCTGCCGCCATTCATACATGGCAAGACGGACGTGGCTGCGTGGTTGTCAATAATGACCGACCTGTTCAAGGCGCACAAGGTCCAGGACGACGCTCGCGTCGTCGCTGCCACCACCGTGCTGGACCAGAACGCACAGCGAGTGGTGTATGGCAGCAAGATCCAGGCTGAGGCGGATAGGAAGCCGTTTGGGTGGGAGGAATTCGCTTCTGCACTCAAGCAGGCTTTCCAGGTCCAGCCGACCCAGCTGGAGGTGCGCAGTCGCCTTGAGAAGCTGCAGTGCGGGAACCGCACAGTGCAGCAATACGCTGTGGAGTTCGAGGAGATTTGGGTGCTGCAGAAACCGGCTGAGCGCATGAGCGAGGGTGAGAAGATCCATCTGTTCTTCAGGGGGCTGCCTGAGCACCTCAAGAACATGCATATGACGGATGGGGCTGGGGAGGCATGGCGGTCCTATGATCACGTGAAGCGCGTGGTGGGGACCACTGATAAGCACTTCCGCGCTTATGCCAAAACCACTACCCAGCCGCAGCAGGCCTCAAGGCCGTCTTCTAGCACTGGGGGTCCGAGTGGAAGGCAGCAGTGTTCGCCTTGGAAGGGCGGGAACCACAAGAGGCCCTTCCAGCAGGGGCAGCAGGCTGACCACAAGGCCAAGAAGGTCAACGAGGGTGGACCAAGCAATGTCCAGAGCTGCTTCAAGTGCGGCAAGCCTGGACACAAGGGCTATGAGTTCCGCCACCGCAAGTCGGTGAAGTACCCTGGCAAGCCCAAGACGGACAACAAGCGCAATGACGGCAGTGGTCCCTCGGGCAGCCAGCGGGATTTTGCAAAGCCCAACTAGGGGGTGGGTACCTAGCGGGCATAGTAGATCGAGAGGATGAGGCAATGGTCCTGCGGGATGAGGAGTTATTGAAACTCGAGTGCCTTGTTGATTGCAAAATTGCATGTGTGTATGCATTTTCTTTTAATGAAAGCTCTTTGTTTGCCTCTCGATTTCACCCACTGGAAAATGTCACAATTGAATCATTAAGAGATAAATTCTCACTTATATTTTGTGATCACCATAATTTGCCTTGGATAATGGACGTGGTGGGTCGTTGCACCCAAGCGCACCCTCTAACTGCGGTTGGAATGGTAACGCGCACAGTTCGAGGTAAATCGTTTCGAGCACTTCAAGGATGGAGCGTGTTAGCGCAGTGGGATAAGGGACACCATGTGTGGTGGACACAAGCTCGCTCCTTTGGACGCAGCAAGCACGGCATTAAGGCATACTATTCGCCTCCCACTGACATTACAGCATGTCCTATTCGACCCAAACATCAGCAAAATCTTTTGTTTTCTGGTCGTGTAAACGGGCGCAGTGCCTCGATCCTGGTTGATACAGGAGCAACTGCGTCATTGATCGATGAGAAATGGATGGGATACTTGAATGTCCCTGTTCAAGGACCATCCTGTTCGATCCGCCTACGGGATGATAGGATCATTCCATGCAGAGGACATGCGTTGGTCAACCTGGATATCCAAGGATATCAGGAGACCATCAGTGTTTTTGTCTTACCCCTCCTAGCAGGCGTAGACATTGTCTTGGGAATGGATTGGCTGCGGCTAAATGAGGTGATATTAAATTTCCAAGATAACACGCTTTCATTCACAAAGAATGGGACAGCGTTTCAATGGCAAGTCCCAAAGCGCCATGCACTGGACGACAAACCTCAAAGCCTGGCTCTTGATGTGCGCTTTGCGTCGGCTCTCCAATTCAAAGAGCATGTCAAGGGAGCTGATACACTTTTTGTTGTACAGCTGGACTCTGAACCAACCCCTTCACAGATTATTGAGGACTTTCCACCTCAAATGAAGGCGTTGGCAGAGGAATATTCCGAGGTTTTCGAACCAATTCCGGACGGGTTACCCCCCGACCGTGCAGTTGGCCACACCATCCCGGTGGAACCAGGAAAGGCACCACCATTTAGACCTCTGTATCGCCTCAGTCCAGCTGAGTACGAGGAGGCTAAACAACAGATTGAGGAGTACCTCAGGAAGGGATGGATAGAACCTAGCGCGTCCCCATATGGAGCACCTATCTTGTTTGTTCACAAGAAGGGAGGTGGACTGCGCATGTGCGTCGATTATCGAGCCCTGAATAAAATTACGATAAAAAACAGATATCCACTTCCGCGCATAGAAGATTTATTTGATCGACTACAGGGTGCGCAATGGTTCAGTGCACTGGACTTGGCACAAGGCTATCACCAATTGCGTATAACAGAGGACGATGTTCCAAAGACGGCTTTCCGTTCGCCGTTCGGCCATTTTCAGTGGCGTGTGTTAAGTTTTGGCTTGACCAACGCTCCGGCCTCTTTCCAGAGGGCGATGAACGATGTTTTTCGTGATGCGATTGGCCAGTTCGTCCTGGTGTACCTCGATGATATCCTGGTATACTCAAAAACCGAAGATGAGCATACTGAACACCTGAAATGGGTCCTCAAAAATTTACGCGAGCACAAATACTACGCACGTTTGTGGAAATGTCATTTTTACAAACGCGAGCTGGAGTATTTGGGGCACGTAGTGGGGCACAACGGTCTGAAAGTGGACCCCAAGAAGGTAGCAGCTGTACAGGAGTGGCCCGTCCCACGCGACGTTGGCCAAGTTCGATCATTCCTGGGCCTGGCGAATTATTTTCGTTGCTTCTTGGAATATTATTCCACGATAGTCGCACCCCTCACGGCATTGACCCGGAAAGGGTGCACGTGGGAGTGGACTCCACAGTGCCAAAAGGCCTTCGAAGAGGTCAAGCATAAATTAACCAACGCACCAGTTTTGGTGTTGCCAAACCCACAGAAACCATATGAGGTGGTTACAGACGCCTCGACGGTGGGACTTGGTGCAGTACTCCTGCAAGAAGGACGCCCTGTGGCATTTGAGAGTAGAAAGCTCTCCCCGGCAGAGCAACGCTACACGACGACCGAACAAGAGTTGTTGGCTGTCGTGCATGCGCTAAGAACATGGCGATGTTACTTGGAAGGGGTAGAGTTCGTGGTCACCACTGACCATTGTCCGAACACATATTTTTCTACCCAAGCTACCCTCACTCGCCGTCAGGCCCGTTGGGCTGAACTCCTTAGTGGGTTCAGTTTCGACATACGTTATCGTGCAGGTTCCACGAACCTGGCTGACCCCCTCAGCAGACAGCCGATAGGGGCAGCAACTGGGCTTGACGATACCGAACACGCGGCTGTTTTTGCTGCCTGTTTTGGCATACTAGCTGCGGCGAAAGTGAGCGAGATCGCGTTCACTGGTTTTCTGAAACGAATTCGTACAGGATATCATATTGAATCCTGGTTCCAGAACCCACAAAACACCAGAAATTTGACATGGGAATACGATCTTTGGTGGCGAACAAAAGAGATTGCGGTACCTCATGTAGGCAATCTGCGGAACGATATTTTGGAAGAGGTGCATGCCACTAAATATGGGGGACACTTGGGCATAAATAAGACCCGATGGGCCCTACGAGATGTGTATTGGTGGCCAGGAGTTGGTAGTGATGTCCAACAGTTTGTGGCACGTTGCGACACGTGCGCACGTAACAAACCGGACACACAGAAGCCTGGTGGTTTGCTTCAACCACTTGAAATTCCGAGTGAACCTTGGGAAAGCGTTTCACTGGATTTCATCACCGAGCTTCCAAGAACCCGTGATGGGTATACGGCGATACTCGTCTTTGTAGATCGCCTTACAAAAATGGTGCACTTAGTACCCACGACAACAGACGTGTCGGCAGAGGATACTGCTCGGTTGTTCGTGACACATGTGTTCCGCCTACACGGATTGCCACGTGTATTGGTGTCTGATCGCGACCCGCGCTTCACGAGCCGGTTCTGGCGTGAAGTAACCGAGACACTAGGAACGAAGCTTAAGATGTCATCAGCTTTCCATCCCCAGACAGATGGGCAAACGGAACGAACTAACCGCACTCTCGAGCAGATGCTTCGTTCTTTCATAAGCCCAACACAGGACAATTGGGACGAGTTGTTACCCATGGTCGAGTTTGCGGTTAACAACTCGGTGCATGATAGCACACATGAAAAACCATTTATCATGAACTGTGGTCGGCATCCCACAACACCTGCTACGCATGGGATCGGCGGTTTGAAATTACCTGCCGCAAAGGATTTTGTGCGCAAGCAACGAGAGGCCCTAAAGTCGGCACGTCGTTGGCTGCAATTAGCCCAACAAAGGCAAAAATCCTATGCCGACATGAAACGCCGGGAAATATCATTCTCCGTTGGAGACAAAGTTTTGTTAAGCACGAAGAATATTCGGCTTAAGATCCCTGGTGCGAGAAAGTTGTTCCCTCGCTGGATTGGGCCCTTCGAGGTCGTTCAACGAGTTGGTGCGGTAGCTTACAAACTCAAGCTACCTGATACCCTGCAGATTCACAATGTCTTCCATGTGTCTCTATTAAGCAAGTACGTTGCAGAGGGCAAGTACTTACCACCACCAACAATCGTCCTAGGGGAGGAACTGTACTATGAAGTCGAACGAGTGCTTTTGCATCGTGATCGACAACGCGGCCGCAAGACTGTACGAGAGTTCCTCATTAAGTGGAAAGGCTATGGGCCTGAACACAACTCATGGGAGCCGGAAGAACATTTGACTGATACTGCGGTTCAGTCTTACATGGAAGACCTGGCTCAGCGAGCACTCCCACAACCAGCGGATGGTGTTGACCCTGGTCGTAATGTGGTTCGTCATGCTCGTAGCACTCGTCCTAAGAAGCACCCCATGGCAACGAGGACGTTGCCAGCTGGAGGGGGAGGAGTGTAACATCTCGATATCCCAACCAGCCCAGAGTCTCGATACATTGAACCTGGGTTGGGAAGATGAAAAGGGAAATGAACTGGTTGAAAAGCGGGGAAACGGACTGGTTGGCAAGCCAACCAATCAGAACACTTTTATACAAAGTGAGTCGAGAAGTTTCTCGCCGCTGGTTGGAATTACAGCCAATCACAAACATTCGAAGTCCAACGCAACTCTCGCGTTGGAATTGCAACCAGTTAGAACATGACAGGTATGGATAACATATTGCATACACTGCATTTTATTCCTTTGTGCCATGTCATTGAGTAAGAAGGATCAACCTTTGCCACATGGGCAAGGCCCATGGTGGTGCACCCTTCCTTGCCATGGGGAAGGTGGCTGCACCCCAAGGGGGTCTAGGGAAGGGGTCTGAGGCCTCGGGGCTCATTCTTCATTTCCTACTCCCAACTAATCAATTGGGAAATAGGATTGCTTTTCTCTCAACTCACCCTCCACAGTTTGTTACTGCATCTCCTACCAACTCTCAGACTTAGTCGTTTTCCAGGAGCTGCCATTCTCTGGTTGTGTTAGAACCTATTATTAAGTGGGTAAATGCCTTTTTTATTATCAGATCCGTTACACGCGCGGTACCAACCACAAATCGGAACAAGTTTTGGCCTGAGACACCTTCATGGTACTGCGAGCCTCCACAAAGTGCTTCACAAACAGTTTGGTAAGAGCGCGACATTTGTGCGAGACGTCCATCTGATGATTAATTCCTGTACCTTCCAACACTCTCTTGAACGATGCTCCATCGTCCGATATAATGCCCGTAACGTTGAACCCCCATCCCTTAAGCACCTCTAAGCCACGTCTGAAAGCCACCTCTTCCAACTTGGTGGAGGACTCACCGGTTCCTTTTTTGGAAATCGTCATACTCAACAATATCTTACGCGATCGTGGATCCATGAATGTGACAGTGCACCACTGCGCCTCTCTAGCCTGTGACCAACGGCCATCAACGCAAATGTACTCATCTCCCGCCTTTTGACGCAATTGCATATCTCTTCTGACGGTTGCCATGCACTCCTCACCGTGCACTATGATAGCCCCCCACAACCCAAATGGACGTCTCATGTAACAATAAAATGTCTCCTTCCCGATTGATTGGATACCTAACGTTCTGCTAACCTCCGACATCTGCTGGTAACCATAACAAATGCGCCCAAGAACCGGGGGAGTAAGAAAGACGTTTTGGGGCCCTGCTTGTTACGACTCCTTGTGACTTTTCCACGCCTGGTAGACCAAAACTCCAAGGCTTTCTTGCAAGTACTACATACCCACAAAACCCCGAACGTAGCCCATGTCACCTTGCATGAACGCAGCTGCATCAATCCCTTGCATGCAGCTCGTTGACAGCAGATTGCTCCAAGACTCATGAAAAACTGGAGCAGCACAATAGGGTCCAACAGACATACCGCTCCTTTGAGGGTGGATACGGCTGCAGCTGGGGACAACCGCCAACTCTTAGCCAGTTTCTTCAGGATAGTTGAGACATCATTTCCTGAGGTCAGGCTTTGGAAGGGATGGAACGTAAAAGGGACAAAGGGTACTCAACACTTTGAGAAAGCTCCTTGAGCAGTTATAAAGGCCCGTCATCTCACTACTCTAGCTTTCAAAAATCCTCTCACCCGCCCACTCACCAGCCCCCACTCCCCCGCCAACTCACCACCCTAGCTTACACCACCCACCACCCTAGCTTACACCACTCACCACTCTAGCGTACACCACTCACCGCTCTTGCTGGGGCACTCACCCAATCACCCGCCCACTCTCCAGACCCACACTTCCCAATTCCACGAACCCGCCCACTCCCCCGTCCACTCACCAGCCCAATCTCCCGCCCACTCACCATAAGGCCTACCATATCACTCACCATCCCACACCACCACCCTCTCACCAGGCCACAGCATCCCAATCCAGGCACAACCAGCCCACACCCAACCAGCCCACACCCAGCCAGCCCACCCTACGTACCCGGCAAGGGGGGTTGGTAGTGTCGCAGGCGGCACAGATGCAGTTGTTCTGCCGGTGTCACTAGTACCCCCCCCTGATCTGCCCTCCCCTCCGATGCCCTCGCTTAGTTCCACACTCAATGGGCTACCCTCCTGCGTTGATTCCTGGACATGTCCCGGGTCTGGGCCACCTGCTTGACGCACCCCCACACCCTCATCGAGCCGATCCCCCTCTCTCACTGCTGCCCCACTCCCGCCTCCCTCCTGGCCCAAGGCCTCTCCTACGTTATCCCCCACGACCTGGGTGTTTCCTTCTGCATCCTCCGAACCAGCTATCTGCATATCTGCCCCCTCAGTAACTGCAGCTTCTCCTCTAGCACGACTCCTCCTGTTGTGCCCTGTGTAGGCAGAGGGGCGTACACGCAATTGCAAATGGTGGAGAATGGGCTTGGACCCCGCGTGTGTTTGTCACGATGTCGGTCCCTTCCAAGGTCCTCAATGGACGATAATTGAATCATGCTGCAGGAGCGATGCGAAATGTCGTGTATGCATCTATTACGGCCCCTATATGTGACATGGATGTTTGATCCCGGTGAAGAGCTTCCCTACCAAGTGCGACTCCACAGTGTTGCGTACCAGCATCCCGCAATGCTCGATATGCGGGCCCACGGCGGTCTCCTCCATGTGGGTGCCCCTTCTCCGGCACCACAGTCCCATCTTCGTTGCGTTTCCACTTGTCAAACTCGTACTCGTAGCCGTTTGAAGAGATAGGCGCCCGTTCGAGCAGGTGCTCCACCGATGCCATCCTCCCCTCTTGGCTCAACAGGAAGATTGTCCGTTGCATATCCATGTGCAATTTGATCTGGTCCTTCACCGTCGTTTCATTGTTACCTGCCATTCAAAACCAATATTGCATGGCGAAATTGGTACGGGATTTTAGGCAAAACGAGTACAACTCTTTTTGAGAATGGGGGGGGATTGGATGCCGGTAGCATAAGGGTGGGGTTTCACTTACCACGTAAGGGTGGGAATGTTATGTATGGTCACGTGGCCAGAAACTCACATGAATTCGTCGCTGCATCGAAGAGTTTGTTGACGATGTCGGGTGATGAAGTAACCAGCACGTGCATCAGATCGTTGAGCGACGCCTCTCTCCCCAACAGCGCGGTTAGACCGCACCGCATGATGGCAACAGGCAGGGTCATGTGTTTGTTGACAGACAACATCTTCTGTGGATCCTTATCCATGATGTTCTTCAGGTGCTTCTTCAAATCGTCGTCGGCACTGTTGCTGCTGCCAGCCATGCTTGAGGTTGTGCAACCATGCTCCTGGGAGGGCACTCGATGGTATGTGATGCTGCAGATGGGGAGTTAGAAGGCAGTAAGAGGGTTGGGGGCACGGGGAGGGGGAGCAGAAGCGGGTACTTTGTCGAGACGAGGCATTCCGCGCTGTCCCCGCCGGCATAGTGTGCCTCGGGCGTCATATGGGAGGCACCTGGCAAGGGAGGGTGCGCTAGGGAGAGAGGGGGGAGGGTGGCTGCGGTGGGGGCTAGGCGCTTCTACGAGGGTGGATGATGGGTGACACAGTGAGTGAAGCAGAGGAGCGCGTGACGGCTCAGCTGAGGAGGTGGAACATCACCTAAAGGTCCCTACCGTACGGTGATCCCCTTTCCCCCTATCCCCGTTTTGTTTGTCTGAGTTATTCTACGATTGGGCCCAATCTGTACCATGCTCTCAGCGGCCTTGCTCCAGGCCCCTCGCATCACAGACGGTACGAAGAGGCAGAGGAGCAGTGGAGTTGGAGCAGCAGAGGAGACGAAGCAGCAGAGGAGACGAGGCAGAGGGGGGAGACGTACGTGGGAGGTACGGTCGGAGTGATGCGTTCTCGGTCTTGGAAACGGCAACTGCTCGCTCACGGAGCGCCGCTGTGTGAAGGGGGCAGCAGAATGAGGGGAGGAGCGGAGTGTTGCGCGCTGCAGCAGGGGAGCAGAGGAGACCGCCTATGCGCGCGCCTACCACCCCGAATCCCTTTTCATGAAAAGGGCAGCTGCTACGTCGCTGAGGGCTGCAGAGTGACGGACTTGGCGGCTGGGACCCCGATCGCTCCCCCCTCCCTCCAGTGTGCTGCTCCTGGTGTTGTGGAGTGATTGAAGGTCAGGTGAGGTGGAGTGGAGGGACAAAGGAGATGTGGTGCCCCAAATGGAGAAGCAGCTACAGAAGAGAGGCCACATGGACAATACCGGTGGCTGCGGTGGAAGAGTGGGGGAAGAGGGGTTGGGGTGATAGGAAGAGAAGAAGGGGGACCGCGGGGCAGACAGGCAGAGGCGCGCCTCTTCCCTGCTGAGTGCGCCACCAGCCCACACCTGAGAGGCGCCTGCGGGGCAAGTGTGGGGGGAGAGGGGTTGGGGCGAGAGGAAGAGAAGAAAGGGGACCGCGGGGCAGACAGGCAGAGGCGCGCCTCTTCCCTGCTGAGTGCGCCACCAGCCCATACCTGAGAGGCGCCTGCAGGGCAAGTGTGGGGGGAGAGGGGTTGGGGCGAGAGGAAGAGAAGAAAGGGGACCGCGGGGCAGACAGGCAGAGTGGCGCCTCTTCCCTGCTGGGTGCGCCACCAGCCCACACCTGAGAGGCGCCTGCGGGGGAAGTGTAGGGGGAGAGGGGTTGGGTTGGGGTGAGAGGAAGAGAAGAAGGGGGATCTAGCGGGGCAGACAGGCAGAGGCGCGCCTCTTCCCTGCTGAGTGCGCCAATTGACCAGCTCTGGGAGGCGCCTGCGGGGGAAGTGTAGGGGGAGAGGGGTTGTGGCGAGAGGAAGAGAAGAAGGGGGACCGCGGGGCAGACAGGCAGAGTGGCGCCTCTTCCCTGCTGAGTGCGCCACCAGCCCACACCTGGGAGGCGCCTGCGGGTGAAGTGTAGGGGGAGAGGGGTTGTGGTGAGAGGAAGAAAAGAAGGGGGATCTAGCGGGGCAGACAGGCAGAGTGGCGCCTCTTCCCTGCTGAGTGCGCCACCAGCCCACACCTGGGAGGCGCCTGCGGGGGAAGTGTAGGGGGAGAGGGGTTGGGGTGAGAGGAAGAGAAGAAGGGGGATCTAGCGGGGCAGAGAGGCAGAGGCGCGCCTCTTCCCTGCTGAGTGCGCCCATCACAAAAATGTGTGTGTCTAGAAAACATTCGACCGTTTGGTTTGTTACCAAGGGTTTAAAAAACGTTTGACAATCTTTCAGAAATCATCTACATATCATTCGGATATCATTTTGTACTACCCAAATGTTTTGTTGATGTTTTAGTAATGGATTACCAATGTTTTGATGGTTGATGTGTCAAATGTTGTTTGTTGAGACAATACATAAGGCTTCATGAATAGGAGTATTACAATTATACGATGTTATAGTCTAGAAAAACGATCGCAATTTTGAAGGCATTACCAGATGAACCTATTGAGGAGCTTCACATCAGGGTCTTTGCAGCATGGGACGACATGCATGATGCTAAGAATGCAATCTGCATCTACAACTGCATAGTTGTAAGTGCCCTTCGTGGGCAGCAGTCGCTTGCAGCCTGTGTAGCGACAGACGCGCCGATCCTCCGTGTAGTACTCTATGTAGGCGGCCTTTTTTGCCACGCCATCTTTCACGTAATGGAACAGCATCAAGCAACGGCCGTACCAGTTGGCCCCTTTGCCAGATGGGTTTATGGCCACATCTGAAAAGTGCCTCTCAGCAGGGCTTGCTTTGACAAACTGCCCCTTCTCGGTCCACTCCATTCTGTCGTGCGGTGGGATTGCCATGGCTGTGTGCACCTGCGAGTAAACAAACATGGAACGCAACAAAACAATGGAAGGGTCGTGTTAGATTTCTCAAGGATGAGTTGCTAAGTGGTGCATTGATACAACGGATTTCCATGGCTGGGTTTTCCCATTACAACTGGTCTAAGACTGCTTGCGTTTAACAGGATGGTAGTGGCAGGTCTGCATTGCAGGGGGCAATCTTATGATTCTCACACTGAGCACTTGTTCGCGGATTCCCTCCATGGTCAGCCGCTTCTTCAGGGCGCCCATCGCTTCATCTCCGTGAAGGAGGACGTAGCTCCTGAATACATCATCGAGGATGTTCCCCACGGTCATCTTCTTGTGTGTCTTTGTCATCACCCGGCGCCCAAGCGTGCAAGCCTGGGTAGGAAGGTGATGGATGCATGGTTTACATGGCGGCATAACAAGGCAGCAATTGAAGTGCAATGGGGACAACAGGAGGAGGGAGCAGTGATTAGGGACGAGTGGGAGGGAATAGGGGGCAGTACGAGAGGTCAGAGGGGGCAGCAACAGTAGGCATGTGAATAGGGGGACAAGTGCCAAGCGGGGGGGGGGGGGCTCAACGAATTACAAAGATGGGCTGGATGGTTTAGCCAGTGGTGGAGCAAGGGTGGGAAGTTCGAGTGGGCGAGGGGTATAGCAGGAGGGTTTAGGTTCATGGGTGGACAAGCGAGGGATCTTTTGAGAGCAGAACGGGATGTCAAGGGGGGCAGCACGAGGACACTTGGTGGGTGGACAAGTGGGGGAGCATGTGGGGGCAGAATGGGATGTCAAGAGGGGCAGCAAGAAGATGGTTGGTCGGTGGACAAGTGGGGAAGCATGTAGGCGACAGAACGGGAAGCAAAGAGGGGCAGCAGGAGGAAGGTCGGTGGGTGGACAAGTGGGGAAGCATGTGGGGGCAGAACGGGATGTCAAGAGGGGCAGCAAGACGAAGGTTGGTGGGTGGACTAATGGGGAAGCATCTGGGGGCATTTAAGAGATGACAAGAGGGGGCAACGGGTTAAACATCCATGTGAGGCCCCGTGGGGGAGCATGGGAGTGCAGAACGGGATGTCATAAGTTTATGGTAGTCGGGTAAGGGTCAGCGGGGCTCAAGAGGATAGGCAAGGTTTAGCTTTAAAACAGGAGGTCATGGAGGGTAGTCGGCGGTTGGAGCAAGGGGGGACAAGTGGTGGATTGAAACGGCTTTGGGTTGTATTCAGTCTCACCTCCTTCATGGCTGTCTCGTAGGTTTTGTCCCCGCCGGCAGCCCGAGACAGCTGTCGAACAACAGCTTGCTCGACATGCTTCTTCACAATCCTATCTTCCACACCCTTCCAGTTGGTGCCCCGAGATGGGCGCTTTACTGTTGTCTTGTGGGATTGCTCGTACCGGTTCGACGAGTACTCCTGTGGCAATCCGCGTGCGCGGATCGTCGGTGGCAGGTGCGATACAAGATGTACCTTCACAATAAACCACTTCGACTTCTGGTTGTCGAACGCTAGAACAAGCGCATCGACCATCCTGTATGGAATGTGTTATGGAGGATTGGAAGATACGGGGTTGGCGCAGTGGGGTGGTATGGAGGGGTTTACTGTGCCCCATACCCTCTCACATCCCCTCCTCCCCTCTCTCATGCCTTTCCGCCTTTTTTCATCCCCTCCCCCCTCCTCTCATATCCTCCCCCCCCCCCCCTCTCTCATCCCCTCCTTCCTTCTAATTGCCCCTCCATTCCCTCACTCTGTGCCCCTCCTCTTCTCTCTATGCCCCTCGTTGCCTCTCTCAGCCCCTCGTTGCCTCTCTCAGCCCCTCGATGCCTCTCTCAGCCCCTCGTTCCCTCTCTCAGCCCCTCATTCCCTCTCTCAGCCCCTCGTACCCTCTCTCAGCCCCTCGTTCCCTATCTCAGCCCCTCGTTCCCTATCTCAGCCCCTCGTTCCCTCTCTCAGCCCCTCGTTCCCTCTCTCAGCCCCTCGTTCCCTCTCTCAGCCCCTCGTTCCCTCTCTCAGCCCCTCGTTCCCTATCTCAGCCCCTCGTTCCCTCTCTCAGCCCCTCGTTCCCTATCTCAGCCCCTCGTTCCCTCTCTCAGCCCCTCGTTCCCTCTCTCAGCCCCTCGTTCCCTCTCTCAGCCCCTTGTTCCCTCTCTCAGCCCCTCGTTCCCTCTCTCAGCCCCTCTATCCCTCTCTCATCCATCCTTCCCTATCTCTGCCCCCCCTTTCCCCTCTTTCGGCCCCTCGTTCCCTCACTCTGCCCTCTTTCCCTCTCTTTTCCATTCTTTCTCTCTCTTTGCCCTTCTTTCACAAACTTTGCCCGCTGTCCCCGTTTCTCAGCCCCCATTTCCCACACACGGCCCCTTAGTCCCTCTTTCGGCCCCTCGATCCTCGCTCTGTCCCTCTTTCCCTCTGCGCAAGGAACGCACATCCATTCACACTAGACTTACTCGCAGGAGACCTCCTCCATGCGCTCGAGAGATTCATCAGTGTGATACTCAGCCCGGATGAACTCCTTGTACCAGTCCGACATGAGCGTGATGGCATGTCGAATATCGGCGCGCTTGGGGAGGTCAATAATGAGGGGCAGCACTTGCATCATGGCACGGTGCTCTGACGCCGAGAAGCAGGCCGTCGTGGTGAAGTACGCCCACGCGGATGGGAGCCTCAGCAAAGATGCAGGGGTCACTGCCTTGATGATCTTGTAGCGTCTGCACGTACGGGATGCAATCAGGGTATCGGTTATGGGGGTGTGGGGCAGGGGGGGAAGGGGGAGGGAGGGGGGCAGGCGGGCGAGCAAGGGACGGGTGAAGGGGGGGGGGGAGTAGTTAGGTGCATCCAATCGCACCCTCATCTCCCCACTTTCTCTCCCACTGCCTCACTTTCCCCCCCTCTGCCCCTCTCTCCCATACTCTATGCCCCACCCTTCCTCTCTCTGACCCTCGTTCCCACTCTCTGCCACATGATCACCTCGCTCCGCCCCTCGTTCCCTTTCTCTGCCCCAATTTGCCTCACTCTTACCCACTTGCCCTCTCTCTGCCCCAATCTCCCTTTCTCTATTCCCAAATTTCCCCCTTCATTCCTCTCCTGCCCTCCCTATGCCCCGAGTTCACTTCTCTATGCCCCGCATTCACCTCTCTCTGACCCTCCTTCCCTCGTTATGACCCTCCTTCACTCCGTCGCTATCCCTCTCTCTACCGCGCATTCCTTCTTGGCTTCGTCTCTTACCCTCCCTCTACCCTGCATTCCTCCTTCGCGGCGTCTGTTTCCCTCTCTATGCCCACTTCCCTATGCCCCGCTCTCACCTCTCTCCGCCCCTCCTTCCCTCTCTCCGCCCCTCCTTCGGTCTCTCAGCCCCAAATTCCTTCTCTCTTCCCCACTGTCCCTTTCTCTGCCCCACTTTCCCTCTCTTTGCCCCACATGCACCTTCCTCTGACACTCATTCCCTCATCACGCCCCACCCTCTCTCTCTGCCTCGAATCTCTCTCTCTCTCTCTCTCTCTCTCTCTCTCTCTCTGCCCCTCCTGCATGCTCTCCGCCCGGCATTCCACCACGCTACCCCTCCATCGCCCCGCCTTCTCTCACGCCCCGCCTTCTCTCACGCCCCGCCTTCTCTCACGCCCCGCCGTCTCTCACGCCCCGCCTTCTCTCACGCCCCGCCTTCTCTCACGCCCCGCCTTCTCTCACGCCCCGCCTTCTCTCACGCCCCGCCTTCTGTCACGCCCCGCCTTCTCTCACGCCCCGCCTTCGGTCACGCCCCGCCTTCGGTCACGCCCCGCCTTCTCTCACGCCCCGCCTTCTCTCACGCCCCGCCTTCTCTCACGCCCCGCCTTCTCTCACTCCGCCCCGAAGTCACTTCTATTTGCCCATCCTTCCATCCATCTGCCCCTCCTACCCTCTCTCTGCCCCAACATACCTCTCGCTGCCCCACTACCCCTCTCTCTGCCCCACTCTCCCCCTCTATTTGCCCCTCATTCCCTCTTCACGCCCTTCCTTCTCTCACTCTGCCCCGAAGTCACTACACTCTGCCCCTCCTGCCTTCTCTTTGCCCCGCAAGTACTTATATCTGCCCCTCCATCCATCCCTCTGCCCATCTTTCCCTCTGGCTGCCCATCTTTCCATATATATGCCCCGAATTCCCTCTCTCTGCCCCTCTCCCGCTCTCTCTTGGTGCCATATTCCCTCTCGTTGCCCCTCTTTCCCTCTCTCTGCCTCTGGTTCCCCCTCGATGCTCCTCTCTCTTGCCCTTATGACCCGCGCCCCACAGTGGTGTAAGGGAAACTTACTCGAGAAGTATCTTCCGTTCTGAGGGTTTCAATTTCTTCACGAGGCACCTCATTGCATGAAGCCAGAGCCCTGCCTCGATAATGTGCATGATGTCGGGTGTTTGGGCGAGATACGTGTTGCCCCACGAGGTTTTGGAGAACTCCCAATCCCACAGCAAGGACTGGCAGCAAAGGGGAGGGGAACGAGAAAAAGGGGGCCTGAAGGATCAGGGTGGGAAAGGGGGCCAGGAATGACTCACGTGGACAGACTCACCCTTGGACAGCAAGGGTGGTACACGGCGAGGTGTCCACCTCCAGC